TTTTTAAACTTTTAAAGTATAAAATCCATATAGAAAAATATATAAATTTTAAGTGTGCTACTCAATGAATTTGTGTGATGGTATTTCAGGTAGTAGTCTGTTTCCCAATCTGTGTACTGGAACACACTTGCATAACTAGCACACAGAGTAGGAAACAAAATAGTACCTGAATTCCAGAAATGCCTTCCAGTCACTACCTCCTCTTCGGTAACCAAACTGATTAATCTTACCTGTTTTTGAGCTTTTAGAAATGGAATTCTACATTATACAATCTTCTGTGTTTGGCTTCTTTTGCTTCAAGATATATTTGTGAAAGTCATTCATATTGTTTGTGTGTGATTGGAATTTGCTCATTCTCACTGCTGTATAGTATGTTCCACTGCTGGAATAATTAAATATGTGGTTCTCAACTGGGAGTGAATTTGCCCTTCAGGGGACATTGAGCAATGTCTGGAGACCTTTATCTAGTTGTCACAACTCACAGTAAGGGAAGGGAGTGTTGCTGCTATCATCCTACAATGCACAGGACCACAGGACAGCCCTCCAAAATATCAGGCTCAAAATGTCATAGTGCCACCAGGCACAGTGGCTCATGCCTATAATCCCAGCACTTTGGGAGGCCGAGGTGGGAGGATCGTGAGATCAGGAGTTCAAGACCATCCTAGCAAACATGGTCAAAGTCCGTCTCTACTAAAATACAAAAAGTTAGCCGGGTGTCGGTGCGCGCCTGTAATCCCAGCTACTCGGGAGGCTGAGGGAGGGGAATCACTTGAATCCAGGAGGCGGAAGTTGCAGTGAGCAGAGATCGCATCACTGCACTTTAGCCTGACAACAGAGCAAGACTCTGTCTCAGCAAAAAAAAAAAGTCATAGTGCCAAGGTTAAGAAACCCTGCTGTGTAGCATTGGATTGTGTGAATATACCACAATTTATTGCTCTGTGTATTTCATAGAGCCTCAACTTGAGCATTCATGAGTATAAAACAGCTCAGCCCTGGCTTTGAAGTTCTGGAATCCATGCTTACCACGATCAGAATAAAAAGACTACCAAACAGGAGGAGTTTTAATATTTACAATAACCGTTAGCGTTAAAATATATTGTTATGTATAGTCTTGGTCATAGACAAAAATCGTACATTTTGGAACTACAAGAATTTGAGGAGGTTTTAAGTGAGAAAGTGAAATGAGCTAAGTCAAGGTTTTCATCAAAGAATGAAAAGACTTTTCTTAGAAACAGCTTTATTGAGAAATAATTTATATACTATAAAATTCACCCATTTTAACTGTACAGTTTAAAGATTCCTAGTAAATTTACAGAATTGTGTAACCATTACCACACTCTTAATTTTAGAACATTTTCATTATGCTAAAAGGATCCCTGGTGCCCATTCTCAATCATTCCTATTCCTACCCCAAGTCCCAAGAAGCTCCCAGTCTACTTTCTGTCTCCAGATAGTTTCCTTCTTTGGATGATTCTTTTAAATGGAAAAATAAAATATGTGGTCTTTTGTGACTGGCTTCTTTCACTTAGGGTAATGTTTCCAAGAGTCATTCATGTTGCTGCAGGTATCAGTACTTCATACTTTATATGGCTGAATAGGATTTCATTGTATGGATATGCCACATTTTTTATCCATTAACAGGTTGATGGATATTTGGGTTGCTTGCAGTTTGGGGTTATTATGAAGAATGGACATGAAGAACTTTTGAAGCATGGCTAGATAAATGACTAGCACAAGTAGGCTTTTGAGAAAGGGACATGATTCTGGGCCAGATGATCTATGTTGCTTAGAGGAATAATTTGAGCAACTGAAAAAATAGAATACAAAGGGAAAAGGACAAGAATGACACAGAGGTATTAGACTTACAGGTAAAGGAGATCTCTGACATTTACTCATACAGACCCTACTATTTTAAAGGCATTTTATAGCTAAGCCAGCTAGGCAATAGAGCAGCAAAGGTCTACAGAGGAGTAAAGGGTAACACCTGACTCCCCTACCCCAGTCTTGTGGGCACAAACCCAGTCAGCATAGCCTTGAGGCTGATTTTTCCAGTTGAACCAAGAAGACCTTTGGTTTTTGGCAGATTTAATAACTAACATTCAAACAAGGCACTTTAAAAAAATCTGCAATTTGAGAGGATTTCCTGGTACTGTAAAACCCCTTCCCTCAATGGGAGTTGTTTTCCCTTCTTGAGTTGGAGTGTTATTAAGTCCATAAAATGGAAAGTACATGTGGGATAATTACACAGATATTCTGTATTAGAGAAAAGTTATGAAGCATGGCATTGAAAAAGATCTTAGGAAAAAATTTCACTAAAAACAAGCATGAAATGGTTAATTCCCACCCTCAACCCATCTGCATCAAATGAAGGTGCTGCTTACAGTAGATATTAAAAGACATGTTGAATGTATAAAGACTAGGTGGCCGCAATGCTTTCCTTTTATCTCTTCCTACATAGATAAGTGGAAGGAACTGGACATAATAGAAGGAGCATGTAGAAAAACATGGGCGATTTGAGACCTTTCAAGGCAGAGCTGAGCCAGTAAAGGTGAAGCACCTGGAAGCCTTTATTCTCCATCCAGGGAAGGAGAATAGAGAGCAAGGAGGATTTTAAGTGGGAAATGCTGCATGCGCTTTCCCCATAGATTCCGAGGGCAGTGTACAGTATTCCAAGTTGCGTAGCTTCTCACAGGCAAGCCATGCCCGGAACTACTTGAGTTCACAACTATTTCTTTTTCTTTCTCTTTTTTTTTTTTTTTTTTAAAGGCAGAATCTTGCTTTGTTGCCCAGGCACTGGAGTGTAGTGGTGTCATCTCGGCTCACTGCAAGCTCCCTCTCCTAGGTTCAAGTGATTCTCCTGCCTCAGCCTCCTGAGTATCTAGGAGTATAGGGGTGCACCACTTCACCCAGCTAATTTTTTGTATTTTTAGTAGAGATGGGGTTTCACCATGTTGGCCAGGCTGGTCTTGAACTCCTGACCTCAGGTGATCCACCTGCCTCAGTCTCCCAAATGGTGGGATTACAGGTGTGAACCACCTGCCTGGCCCACAACTATTTCTTGAACATGAGTTCAACAATGTAGACCTTGTGTATGTGCAAAGGAATATGCCTTATATTCATCCTGTATTCTATCATCTGACAAGAACCAAACAGAGCTCAGTGGTGTAAATTTACATTCATGTACAGGGTTCCTGCAATGATGATCCTGCATAATTGTTGTTGGAAATCATCTGTCAGTTATTGATGCATGAAGGCTTAAACACATGGTCAGAGGATCAGACTCACTAATGGCTCTTTTATGTTTCTTCCACTTATTGAGATAAAATCCTTTTGTTTTTATCTTTGAGACAGGGTTTCACTCTGTCATCCCAGCTGGAATACAGTGGTGCAATCATGGCTTGCTGCAGCCTCAACCTCCTAGATTCAAGTGATCCTCCTGCTTCAGCCTCCAGAGTAGTTGCGACCACAGGTGCAAACCAGCAGCCACACTTGGCTAATTTTTTAAATTTTTGTAGAGATGGAGTCTTACTATGTTGCCCATGCTTGTCTTGACCTCCTGGCTTCAAGCAGTCCTCTCACCTTGGCCTCCCAAAATGCTAGATTATAGATGTGTGCCACCACGCCTGGCCTCAGATGAAATATCCTGTATCTACTATACTGGAAAAAAATAGAGAATTGACATGTAACCTGCATAGCTTTTTTAAATTCTTTTACAATCACTCTGTACCAGTACATGTTGTCAACAAAATACGGCAAAACAAAGAGTTGCGCAATGATTTTAATGCATGATCAATAAAGATTGAAGCCAGCCTGTCAGGTTAATCCTGTTTTGTTTTAATCCTAGTCTTTCCCCTCAGAAGCTAGGTTTTTGGCTTATCTGACTGGATAATTGTTGCAGGGACCTCTTTCCATCTTCATGTGTGAAAGCAGTGATGGGTATGTGATTAAACCATGTTAGATAATATGATTAGGCCATGCCATTATTCTTTTGTAGTTGCAAAGGAAAGCTATATTTCTCAGACTCTGATCCCCACAGCTAATTCTTTGTGTAAGTTCTCAGGGAGCAGCTCACATGTGCTCATGATAGGTTCAGTTCACAGTGTGACTTGTCCAACACAGGATATCTATCGTGTCTTCTAACACTATAGATTATTTGCTTTGCCCGTTTTAGAGTTTTAGATACATGAATTCATACAATGTGTACTCTTTTGTGTCTGTAAGATGCATCCTTATTGTTGTGCATAGCTGTCGTTTGTTCATTCTCATTGACATGTGGTATTCCATTATATAAAGACACCACAATTTATTTACCCAGACTACCACTGATGCATAGTTGGGTATCTTTCAATATTTATAGCAACTCTGTGACATAGGTGCTATTATTCCCTCAATTTTGCTGATGGGGAGACTGGAGCTACGAGTGGCTTTAAAATTGATTACCTCAAGTCACACAGGTCATTTTGTGGTTGAGTCAGACTTTGAACCAAGGTAGCCCAGACTCTCTACCCTCACCCTTTTATGCCTCAATGTCTGACTGAACTATTTAGTGAAGCACTTCTTTGAAATGTCTCTGTCTTTCCTTTCTCCCTTTAAAGGACTGTCTCTGAAAGAAAAATCCAGGTCACCATGCTACACAGGAATTCATCCCTACTCCCGGGACTAAAGCTTGGCTCCCAGATCTAGTTTTCTGAGCTTAGGGTAGGGCTGTCCCCAGTGACCCCATTCATTCATTCATTCATTCATCTGCCATGTCTGAATCTATGGTAAATCCTTTGTAGGCTCAAGCTGGGCCCCCACTTCAAAAGGATATTTAAAAACCAAATTAACCCCTGAGAGGAGCGTTGAGCTTGTCTCTGTGTTGATATATCTTTGGCTTTACCTGTTCAGGCTCTGCTCTTTTCATGCAGAGTCTGAGGAAACCTGAGGACTATGTTTTTGTTTTGTTTTGCTTTTCCTGTATTAAGGATTTTTATTTTCTGTTTTCTCTTTAATGTTTGTAGGAAAAGAACTGCCAGCTCATATGTTATGATTTTTAGAAAAGTGTCAGTCTGAGCGCAGTGGCTCATGCCCATAATCCTGGCACTTATGGAGGACAAGGCGGCTTGAGCCTGGGAGTTTGAGACCAGCCTGGGCAACACGGCAAGGCCGCATCTTATAAAAAAAAATAAAAACATTAGCTTGACATGATGATATGTGCCTGCAGTCCCAGCTAGTTGGGAAGCTGGTGGTGGGAGGATCATTTGAACCTGGGAAGTCGAGCCTGCAGTGAGCCACGATTGTATCACTGCACTCCAGCTTGGGTGACAGAGTGAGACCCTGTCTGGAAAAAAAATTTTTTTTTTCGCAAATGCATGTTTCTTCCTGTTGTTTCCACAGAAACATTCAGGTAGAGGCTACAGATTTATATGAAAAAGAAAGATCAGTTTTCTAGTCTTGTGTCAGGAATCCATGTGAAGTCAGTTCTTGGCTTCTCCTTTGCTGGAAATGGAAGGGTATAAATAGGGTCATCTACTCCCAAATTCTGCTGTCAGTCAGGGAGATGTTCTGTTTCCACATCTTGCCTGGACCATCTTAGAGCAGTGCAAAGTTTATTGGATCTGCCAATGTGTTATTGGTCTTCGGTGTGATGACAAGAGAGAGTAGGAAGGAGGTCTCCGGCTGCTTCTCTGAGTTCAGATGTTCCCTAGCCTAAGAAAACTAATCATGCACCTTGTTTCCTGGCCTGGAAAATAAGAAGTGATTGTAGCAGCCTTTGAATCTATATGGAAGGTGGTGGGTTTTTGTTATTGTTGTTTTTGTTTTTTTTCAGCAATAAAGTAGTTGCATATGTATGTACAAAATAGATTAAAACAATTCTTTACCTAGAAGCATTTTACAAAAGTTAAGTGTGCAGGCTGTCCCCTATCGAACTTTGTCCTTTTTTTTTCTAGACACTCCTTTCTACTGTGGAATCTGTGGGTAGTGCCGGCCAGGAGGAGAGTGGCAGAAAAAGAAAAAAAAGGCCCTTTTACCCATTGGTTAATAGAGGGGGAAGGTGCAGCTATTTAGGAAAATCTGAATCCTGTCATTCTGGATTCTGGAATCACCTTCTCTTCCCCCTCCAAAGTCTTCATATACTTGCCTCACACGCAGTCCACACACCCACTCCTGGGATTCTATATCCCATTCAGCCACCTCCAAGCCAATGAACCAGCTCATAAGTAATGTCAAGGTTATGTGTGAAATGTGAATGTTCTTTGGTCTTGATGGGAAAACTGAACTGTGAAAAATTGCTATACCTATCATTTCAGAACTGATTGTCAAACTGTAGACTCTTGAGATGACACTTACTGTTGTCCCATGATTTAATTGTTTTTAGCAATTAACAATTTGAAACCAAGGCTTTTAAACCATCCCTCTGATTAACATCAGAGAAGAGGGGCAATCCTTTGAAAAGAATTTCTAAAGACAGAATTTTTATTAATGAAGTATAAAATAGCATGAGACACAGTGAGAAACATCTTCAGGGTTCACATGGCCTATGCAAGTAATAAATGCAAGGTTAGGGCTTATTTTCTGAGAAATAAATCCTTAGTAGGATGCTAGATGAAATACAGGATGTCCAGCTAAATTTGAACTTCAGACAAACAAGAAGTAATTTTTTTGATTTAAGTATGTCTCAAATATTGCATGGGGCATTCTATATTTTTATTTTTAAAATCTGGCCATTTAAACTAGGCTTGCAATATATTTTCAGCACAATTTCAGCTTATTGTTTGTATTTGCTGAGTACTTTAGGCATGATGGCTAGAGTCAGAGGTGACTTTAGGAGCTGCAGGCCTCGTGTGTGTCTCTTTCACCACTATGCCCACAGCCGCAAGTACAGTGCTTGGCATATAGTTGGTGCCCAATAAATACCTTTTGAAAAAAATTGATCAAAATTATAAAATAAGTATGGAATATGATGAACTGATGATGCTTATAACCTAGCTGGTAATACAGGCTCATATATATTAAAAGTGGTTGTGACTAATACTCTCTTATTTTGGATTTTAACTGGTTAATTTGCTTAATAGACTAGCCCACTTGGTTGAAGGATTCAAATTCTAAATATACAAAAGGTTACTTCCATTTCAAAAAGTGATCAAGAAAGACAAACAGTGTGTTTTCTCACTTATGTCGATTCTAAAGAAGATAATCGCACAGAAATAGAGAGTAGAATAGTAGTTACCAGAGGCTGGTGAGGGTAGAAGGGAGGGGAGGATGAATATGGTTACATAGGAGGAATAAGTCCTGGTGTTCCATTGCACAATGGAGTGTTTATAGTTAACATTAATGTATTATATATTTTTTTATTGTATTTTAGGTTTTGGGGTACATGTGAAGAACATGCAAGATTGTTGCATAGGTACACACATGGCAGTGTGATTTGCTGCCTTCCTCCCCATCACCTATATCTGGCATTTCTCCCCATGCTATCTCTCCCCAACTCCCCACCTCCCACCATCCATCCCCTTTTTCCCCCGACAGACCCCAGTGTGTGATGCTCCACTTCCTGTGTCCATGTGTTCTCATTGTTCAACACCCACCTATGAGTGAGAACATGCGGTGTTTGATTTTCTGTTTTTGTCAGTTTGCTGAGAATGATGGTTTCCAGGTTCATCCATGTCCCTACAAAGGACAGGAACTCATCTTTTTTATGGCTGCATAGTATTCCATGGTGTATATGAGCCACATTTTCCCTGTTCAGTCTATCATCGATGGGCATTTGGGTTGGTTCCAGGTTTTTACTATTGTAAACAGTGCTGCAATAAACATTTGTTTGCATGTGTCCTTATAGTAGAACGATTTATAATCCTTTGGATATATACCCAGTGATGGGATTGCTGGGTCAAATGGAATTTCTATTTCTAGGTCCTTGTGGAATCGCCACACTGTCTTCCACAATGGTTGAACTAATTTACACTCCCACCAACAGTGTAAAAGTGTTCCTATTTCTCCACATCCTCTCCAGCATCCGTTGTCTCCAGATTTTTTAATGATTGCCATTCCGACTGGCATGAGATGGTATCTCAATGTAGTTTTGATTTGCATTTCTCTAATGACCAATGATGAGCATTTTTTCATATGTTCGTTGGCCTCATGTATGTCTTCTTTTGTAAACTGTCTGTTCATATCCTTTGCCCACTTTTGAATGGGCTTGTTTTTTTCTTGTAAATCTGTTTTAGTTCTTTGTAGATTCTGGATATCAGCCCTTTGTCAGATGGGTAGATTGCAAAATTTTTTCCCATTCTGTTGGTTGCCAATTCACTCTAATGACTGTTTCTTTTACTGTGCAGAAGCTGTGGAGTTTGATTAGGTGTCATTTGTGTATTTTGGCTTTTGTTGCCAATGCTTTTGTTGTTTTGATCATGAAGTCCTTACCTATGCCTATGTCCTGACTGGTTTTGCCTGGATTTTCTTCTAGGGTTTTTATGGTGTTAAGTCTTATGTTTAAGTCTTTAATCCATCTGGAGTTAATTTTCGTGTAAGGTGTCAGGAAGGGGTCCAGTTTCTGCTTTCTGTACATGGCTTGCCAGTTTTCCCAACACTATTTATTAAACAGGGAATCCTTTCCCCATTGCTTGTTTTTGTCAGGTTTGTCAAAGATCAGATGGTTGTAGATGTGTGGTGTTGCTTCCGAGACCTCTGTTCTGTTTCATTGGTCTATATCTCTGTTTTGGTACCAGTACCATGCTGTTTTGATTACTGTAGCCTTGTAGTATAGTTTGAAGTCTGGTAGTGTGATGCCTCCTGCTTTGTTCTTTTTGCTTAGAATTGACTTGACTATGTGGGCTCTCTTTTGGTTCCATATGAAGTTTAAGGTGGTTTTTTCCAGTTCTGTCATGAAGGTCATTGGTAGCCTGCTAGGGATAGCGTGGAATCTGTAAATTACTTTGGGTAGTATGGCCATTTTCATGATATTGATTGTTTCTAACCATGAGCCTGGAATGTTTCTCTATCTGTTTGTGTCCTCTCTTATTTCATTGAGCAGTGGTTTGTAGTTCTCCTTGAAGAGAATAACTACATTTACATTCCTTGTTAGTTGTATTCCTAGGTATTTTATTCTCTTTGTAGCAATTGTGAATGGCAGTTCGTTCTTGATTTGGCTCTCTTTAAGTCTGTTATTGGTGTATAGGAATGCTTGTGATTTTTGCACATTGATTTTGTATCCTGAGACTTTGCCAAAGTTGCTTATCAGTTTCAGGAGTTTTGGGGCTGAGACAATGGGGTCTTCTAAATATACAATCATATCGTCTGCAAATAGAGACAATTTGACTTCCTCCTTTCCTACTTGAATAGCCTTTATTTCTTTTTCTTGCTTGATTGCCCTGGCCAGAACTCCCAATACTATATTGAATAGGAGTGGTGAGAGAGGGCATCATTGTCTAGTGCCAGATTTCAAAGGGAATGCTTCCAGTTTTTGCCCATTCAGTATGATATTGGCTGTTGGTTTGTCGTAAATAGCTTTTATTATTTTGAGATATGTTCCATCAATACCTAGTTTATGGAGAGTTTTTAGCATAAAGAGCTGTTAAGTTTTGTAAGAGGCCTTCTCTGCATCAATTGAGATAATCATGTGGTTTTTGTCTTTGGTTCTGTTTATGTGGTGAATTACGTTTATAGACTTGCATATATTGAACCAGCCTTGCATCCCCGGGATGAAGCCTACTTGATCATGGTGCATAAGCTTTTTGATGTGCTGTTGCAATCGGTTTGCCAGTATTTTATTAAAGATGTTTGCATCTATGTTCATCATGGATATTGGCCTGAAGTTTTCTTTTCTTGCTGAGTCTTTGCCAGGTTTTGGTATCAGGATGATGTTGGTCTCATAAGATGATTTGGGAAGTATTCCCTCTTTTTGGATTGTTTGGAATAGTTTCAGAAGGAATGGTACCAGCTCCTTTTTATATGTCTGGTAGAATTCGGCTGTGAACCCATCTGGACCTTGGCTTTTTTGGGGTGGTAGGCTCTTAATTGCTGCCTCAACTTCTGTCCTTATTATTGGTCTATTCAGGGTTTTGACTTCTTCCTGGTTTAGGCTTGGGAGGATGCAAGTGTCCAGGAATTTATCCATTTCTTCCAGGTTTACTAGTTTATGTGCATAGAGTTGTTTGTAATAATCTCTGATGAT